AGAGTTCCCTGGACTGCAAGGAGAACAAACCTATCCATTCTGAAGGAAATTAACCCTGAGTGCTCACTGGAAGGACAGATCCTGAAGCTGAGACTCCAATACTTTGGCCATCTCATGAGAAGAGAGGACTCCCTGGAAAATACCCAGATATTGGGAAAGTGTGAAGGCAAGAGGAGAAGGGGATGACAGAGGATGAGATGGTTAGAGAGTGTCATTGAAGCAACCAACATGAATTTGACCCAACTCCAGGAGGCAGTGGAAGACAGGAGGGCCTGGCATGCTCTGGTCCATGGGTTCACGAAGAGTCGGACACGACTAAACGACTAAACAACAACAACAATGTACTGTGCAAAGAGTTGCTAATCACTTGTGCATTCTCAAAAGATTGCCTGTTTTTAATTATTTTAGTAATTCAGTAAAGGTATTGCCCATTTTGCACCAAACTGAATGTATCTCTGGCTTCATTGGAAGCAGTAGTTGCTGCTATGTTTTGAATGTGTTTCCTTGCTGTATTCCTGTGCAAGGTTGAAAGACCAGCAGTTCGAATCCACATGATGGAGTGAGCTCCTGTTGCTTGTCCCAGCTCCTGCCAACCTACCAGTTCGAAAGCATGTAAAAATGCGAGTAGATACATAAATAGGTACCACCTCAGTGGGAAGGTAACAGCCTTCTATGTCTACGTCACACTAGCCACGTGACCACGGAAACTGTCTACGGACAAACGCTGGCTCTACAGCTTTGAAACGGGGATGAGAACCGCTGCCTAGAGTCGGACACGAGTGGAGAATTTGTCCAGGGGAACCTTTACCTAATTTACTTTGCTAGAATAGATCCTTTTAACCAAAAGTTAAGTTGCAGTCCGACAAGCTGTTGTGTTGTAGAGATGGGTTGGTTTGCTCCTTTTTGTGGCAAATACAAGATGTAATTGTTGGAGCAAACCAGTCTGTCCCCAGAGTGTTCCTATTGGCACTTTTCTGGGTCCCTGTCAGGGGCTACTATTTTTTTTTGTTTTTGTTTGTTTTTGTGGGGTTTTTCTGTGTGTGCAGGTTGTATTGCTTTAGTCTGGTAATTTCCAGCATGTGTAGTCATTAGAGATGAACCAAAGTGAGCCTGCAGTTGTCAATTTGCCAGTATAAAGAGGCTTAAGAAGATAGCTTAGCCATTTCATTATATTTGGAAATTAGACACTTCCTCTGTGCTGTGGAGGGGCAAAAGTAAACATTTTTTTAAAAATTACAGTACTAGGGTCTTGATCAATTGCATCACTTTGAAAAAAATAAAAGAACATTTCAAAACTTTCTCCCGGAGGTAGGAGGGAACAGAAGGAGACAAAGATAGAGGTGTTTTTTTGTGTTGTTTGAGGTGTGCATGTCATTTGAATAAAATTATTGCTATACTCTACCTCACCCCAGGCAACCCTACTTATTATTTAACCTGCACCATCCTGCTCCCCTGTTACTTCTTGTTCTGTATTCACATCAAAATGGGTAGACGTCTCCTTTCACCACTAGGGAGTGGTATAAAGTTGCATAAAAATTATGTGGAGTACAGCAGTTACACTTCCTGCTTTTAGCAATAGTAGAACCCCTAACTGATGGGTATTTTGGTAACTATGCAAGCATTATTATTCCTATTTATGAACCATGACAGTAGCTTTTCTCCAAAATGATATGGATAGGTGAAGCAATAGTTCTAAGTTCACAGAGAATTTAGAAACGAAAGTGAAAGTTACGAAACATGAGTCAGTGTAGAGTTAGTCTAGCAAGGGGAGATACATATATGGGCATAGGTGCACTTTGCGTCGCGTGATAGGTAGAATGTGAGCTTTCTGCATTGGTCAGGATTGGCCAGAGGGACAGAGAGGGGTTGCGTTGCCTTGGGTATAAAATGTATTGTTGACTGAATAGCAGAGACCACACACCCCAGGTGTATTCTCTCCATGCCTGCAGACATGAAATAAAACTCGCTTGCTGTAAGTCTTCAGTGTGCGTGTGAATAAAAGAATACCGCACATAACAAAAATGCCAAAAGAAATACAATACATAGTGTTTGTGCGAATAAACCACTTCAAACCAGTAAAATAAACAAAGGAGTAACTTAAGATATTCTGCTACAAGACAGCCTCCTACCCACCCACCCCATGCATATTTATTTTTATTAATTTATTTATTTGTTCGATTTATATCCCGCCCATCTGGTATATTCTACCACTCTCGACTGGCCACCAAAACCTAACTTTTCCGAAAGGACAACATCCTCCGCTACACCTTTGACTTATTTAGAAAGACCAGCTGCCCTGTCTTCCAAATAAGTGGAAGAAAAACAATTATCCTCTTCCAACTAAGTGTAATGAGCCTGCATCTCCCGCTTAGAATTTATTTCTTCAAACCCAGTGGTCTTCTTCACCAGCAATCCCAAAGTGGAGAATCTGTACTGGATTTTGCACTGATCTTAATGGAAATTCCCCTGACATCCAGAAAATATTTCTCTTCTCTTT